TGACCCCAATTTACAGACAATTGAGAGTTCTGTAATATTCAGGAATATTGTAACAATATGGCTGACAATTAGGACAACCAAACATAACTTTTTATTACCATTTGATTTTAACTTATCTTGCTCATGATTCATTACCTACAGTACGCAAAGTGAGCTCAATATACTGATGTGAAAGAACTAAAAAAATTCAAATTAAAATCTGCATATTCGACAAGCAAATTTTTCTGTAAAACCTTCCCAGAATTCCCACACTACCAAGATTCCATGCAATAATAGCGAATAAATACAATGGAACAACTTTACTTTACTGGTCCCAAGAAAAACATGCTAAAATATGGTGTCGCTCCAGATGACTTCAATATATACAAGATCATGTGAGCAATCAAAAAAAAAGTATGAGGTTTTGGCCTTTTTGACCCCCAAATTGAATTCTGCAGATAAAAGTTCATGTATTATATATAGTTTAAAGCTTTGTTTTTAACAATTTTTTTAACCTTGTTCTCTGAAAAAGTTTAATAAATATTGTTTATTCAGGGAAAATGAACAAAAAATAATTGTCAAAGAAGCCAGTGTGCGGCACGTACTTAGTTACATTTCTTTAAGCATTGAATCACTATTTTTTGAAAGATATAGTCTCATAACTGCAAAAGTGTGTGCAAATAAATTGAGTAACATACGTTAGCGCGTTATGAAAATTTGCTTGCACACACCGTTGCAGTTATTAGACTATATCTTTCAAAAATAATGATTATTGCTTATATTTACATTTTTAACTTCTTGCCTTGACTCAAATGTGATTTTTATTTCAAAATCCCTGTATTATCCTTCGGGTAAATTACAATTAATGGAAGAACCATTGCAACAGCTTCTTTTCAAAGTGAGCGGGAATTTTGATTTTTGCTTATGATGTTCCACTTCCATGGCCTTCAACATTTGTGACATCAAAATAAAATGTATACTTTAACATTTTGACCCCCTGTCCGTGTTATGGTGTTTTGAATGCCGTCACTTTTTAAGCAAAATACATGTGGAATGTAAATATTTAGTACTTAGCCATTTTTTCATGTAAACAAACCAATGAGATGCCGTGGAAGCTGAATTAAGATCTTGTAAAAAATACAGATGCAACTGAATTTCTTAATAAGTCTAAAAGAACAAGACATTAACCCTCAACTCTCAGATGGTATGCGAGGACTAACCCATACCTCTCGAGCTGATGCTAGAGTAACCCTAATCAGTCAAATAATGTGCGAGGACTAACCCTAATCTCTCGGATGGATGCATGACTAACCCTAATTAGTCAAATATGTGTGCAAAAACTAACCTTAATCTATTAGGTGGGTGCAAGACTAACCCTAACCAGTCCAGTTGTGTGCAAGACTATAATCCTTATCAGTTGAATGACATAAATCTTATGTCATAGTGCAATGAGTGTGCGGATCTTGCAGATCTGGGGACCAGTAAAGTCAAGTTTACCTGAATAAACAGTCTACTCTATACACCTTTCATTAAAAAATTGCAAAGGGCTTATCTAGACTCTGAGTTACATATGACGTCAAGTGAAGTCACAGTCTATAAACATTTCTAGTATAAAAATTTCTAGTATAAACATTTCAGGTATGTAACTGTGCTCGCCTCGGCCGTGGCACTGTAGAATATATTACTGTAATATTGCGTGATGAATAATTGTCCATTTACAAATGAAGTTACTCTATAAATTCAGTCATACTCATTCAACATACTAAATGTTTAGAGGAATATTTAGTGTCCATACATGAACATGCAAATATCAATAACAAATAATATATGCCTATTTGGAAACAATAAAATGGATTTATGTAAACTGCTGATGAACGGATATGCATACTTAAATGTATTAACATTTATAAGAACGTCTGCTGGGCAGTGACAGTACTCCTCGTTTCTTATTCTGGTTGGAGTTTACAAACTACAACGTATATATCACTGAATATATCAGATTTATATCGATATCCACAAAAATATTTAAAATGTGCCCATATAAACTCACCTAAGTCTTTGTATTTTTCTATCAAAACAAACAATCGTACTAAGTCTGACGTCTTTCACCATAAAAGCAAAACAAATCAACGTCACTGAAAGGTTTTACATGGAAGTTACAAAACTAAAACTCGAAATAGAAAACGGAAAAGAAGACGGAAAGTTTCGCAGCTGAAATAATTTTTTAAACCCAGAAGATAAGCAGTACTTTGTTTGAGATAATTTTTACCACAAAAACTTTTCCCGTCAGTATTGACCTCAGGAGCGACTCATCTATTTGTGGTTGTGTGAGAAGTTGCAAAATACAATCTTTACCAAAAGTCGGTTTTAGGATCCGCCTCTCTCACAACAGTCTGGTCGAACCCCCAAGGGGGGTAAACGGAAATAGGAAAGCCATACCCCCAAACGGGGGTACGACCATGTGCAGATGCTTAAAAATGTGCGTATTTCACGCAGAAAGTACAGAAGAGGTTTACAAAAAAAAACTGAATTCGTAACAAAACTACTATAAAATAACACACTAGGTAAGCTATATAGTTATTATAGTAAACAGAAGTATCAATGTTTTAATAATAGCAAGGTTTGCTGGGAACGCTCCAGCATTGTTCCTTAGAACCAGGAGAGTATGTTCCTTCAGTCTAACAATGAGCACCTACATGTAAGTCCCACTTTATCACTCTGAGTGTGTCAAAACTTAAATGAAATATGGCTCAAAATGTCTCGATCTTTTTTAAGTAAAGGAATGGATTTCAAGTTCCAATATCAACAGAATTGAACTCAAGCTCTCTCTTTTGAAATACAATGTATTTGAAATATATTTGAAAAACTTAATTATGTACAAAACAGTAAGTTAAAGCATATTTCAAGTTATGATTTTGGTAAAAAAAAATTGAAAGATTTTTCGTGTTTCTTCTTAAACCCAAAGGATACAAGGAAACAAAAGACTGAGGAGTTTTTAAAAACTGACGCCTGGACACAGTGTCCATCAAGTTATAAGAATTACACAATACAAAAGGTTATGCTAAAATACACACTTAAAATGTTTTCGAAGAAATCCCTACACAAAAATCTTTTCAAGAACGCTTAGTAATGAAATATTTAAGTTAAAAACAAGACGTGTTTGTGAAACACTGATGCCCCCGTATGGCAGCTTAAGGCAAAGGTTAAAGTTTCTCAAATGCAAGGCAAACTCCAAGATCAAGAGATCAAAAATGTTGTAACAAAAGAAAGGACTTGTGTCAATGGATATACCTGGTAAATATGAAAGCCCAAGCACCAACTATTCAAAAGTAATGGTCAAGATTGATGTTTTCCAAAAGTGGGTCAAATTCCAAGGTCAAGGTCAAAATTAATGGTACGCAGTGTAAGACCTTGTCATAAAAATACACATGCAAAATATAAAAGCCCCTAGCACCAACTGTTCAAAAGTTATGGCGAAGGTTTAAGTTTTTTAAAAGTGGGTCAAACTGAAGGTCAAGGTCAAAATTGTTGATATTCAAAGGAAGGTCTTATCGCAAGGAATATACCTGTGAAATTTGAAAGCCCTTAGGCTAGTACTAACTGTTCAAAAGTTATGGCCAAGGTTAAAGTTTTTAAAGGTGGGTCAAAGGTAAAAAAATAATTGCACCCTTGGAAAGGTCTTGTCACGATGAATACACATGTGAAATATGAAAGCCCTAGCATCAACAGACAACTGTTCAAAAGTTATGGCCAAGGTTAAGGTTGGGTAAATTTTTGCAAATGTGGGTCAAACTCCAAGGTCAAGAGGTCAAATACATTGGTACCCAAAAGAAGGTTTTGTCACAAGGAATACACATGTGAAATATGAAAAACATAGCTCCAACCAATCAAAAGTTATGGGCAAGGTTAAAGTTTTTGAGGACAAACAAGGAGACTGATAGACAGAGAGACGGACGAAGGGACAGGGCAAAACCTATATTCCCCCCGAATCTTGGATTACAGGGCATAAAAATCAAATGGGGAGAGTTCTTGATATTTCCTACAATCCACATGAAATGGCAATGAACTGGCTGTTCACTGAAAATCTACATGTACATCCGTCCACCGCATGTCGACTTCTAAACCGATTTCGGATCACTTATTGGAAGCTTTCAGGAAGTCCACGAAAAACGACTTTGAGGCAAGATCGTATTATGAGCGAAGAGGGAAAACAGCTCTTAGAGTATATAGAACAATAAGTTCCAAAAGATATTGTAACGATCGAGATCGTCGTGCCTGCGTCGAGGACACACGAATATTTCCCATCAAGACAACGTCTGTCCTCACACCGCCCGGCATACAGAAGTCGACTTCTCTCAGAACAATGTTAAAGTCATGGAATGGCCGACGAGATCACCATATTTATTTGTCACCAATTGAACACGTTTGAAACGTGTATATCAGCTACACGACGTCAACAAGAACAGGTCCTTGCTCTTCAGCGTGACTGATCTAGATTAGACACATGAGATACCATTGCTGCCAATGGAGGCGATTTAATTTCCTGAGATTGAATTTGTCTTTCGAATCCCATTTTTCGATGTTTTTATACGTAACAGAACAAGATTCGTATGGCATGTCAAACGTTGAAATATTCAATCTTTTCCATTTTTCCAAATGAAAATGAGAAACTGTAGAATACAAATGGAAAATTATAGAATACTAATAAACAAATGGAAAATTATACAATACAAATGGAAAAGATCGAATATTGCAACGTTTGACATGCCACATATTCGAATCAAAATGTGACATTATATTATTTTGTCAACAACCTTTACATTTCAATTTCTTTATAATAGAATACCAACCCGCGTATAGCCTATAATGATAAGATCTGACATGATTGCCGCACTGAATATATTGTACTATATTTTGTAAAACGCTTGGTCTTATTTGGATGCCTTGGTATCTACTGCCTTTGTCTCTCACCTGATATTTACCCAACAACAAGGACACGGGACAGCGTGAAGTCGACCTTTATACCCGTGTTATAGATGATATAAAATTGTGTCGGGTTATGATAAAATTGTTTTTGGTGTGTGTATCAAGATATTTATTTTAGAGTGGATTTAATTCACTTCTATAAATTGTGATCCTCTTTGACTTTGGAATACTACACAAATTTGGAGCGATTTTTTTTCAGATGTTTCTGTTTCCTTCAAGTATCAGACATTGAAATATAATCCGGCGCTAAGATGTCTACGTCTTATTCGTCACAGTCAGACCTCGTGTCCAATTTATCCGTTCCTGCACCAACTCAGGCCATCAATAGACGGATCATCTACGGTTTTGCTGGAGCCGCCTTTGTTATCATCCTTTCCCTTTCCATTACTCTTGGTGTTGTTTCAAGTAAAGTAAATGACAAACCTAACATTTATTATGAGCAATCCAATAAACCACCCACCACCAAAAAAGAACAGTCCTGTCCAGCACAAACACAATCGTGTCCACCTCAGATACTGATGTGTCCAGAATCTACAAGACCAGCACCAGAGAAAACCCAAACGCCGACTTCCTGTTCGGAGCAATACGGATCGCACCCTACCGACCTACAAATAGCAAATTGTGTTTTAGAGAACTATCCACTCATAGACGGATGTGTATATATCAAGTCATTCATATTATAAATCATAAACAGAAAATTATATTAATAAAATAGTAATATATAAATAAAAAGAAGCTTATGTCAATCTATTCAGTGAGTAAGCATAATTTCCGGGATTAATAGGTGAAAACCCTTGTGATTGTAACTATTTTATATTTATAAATGTATTTTGCATATCATAGATATATATTAAGAAAAATTTAGCGAAGTTGAGGAGAAATGAAAAATAATTGGCAGGCGTAATGTCTTTTTTTAACGTTAATTTCATGTCATTTCGAGGAGTATGCGACAGAATAGAGATTCCTTGAACTAGATTTTAGGATGCACACAATTTTTTTTTTTTTTTTTTTTTAATAAAATTGAATTGAAGAATATATATATATATATATATATATATATATATATATATATATATATATATATATATATATATATATATATATATATATATTTATATATGTTAAATTCAACACATTTTTAAAAAAAATTATTTTAAAAAAAGAAATCTCTGCACAAAGGATGATAGGATTTAAAGCATCTAATTAAATGAATCTCCAATTTGAGACCGTTGCGTAATTGGTCAGTTTATGTAGTGTTAATTACGGTGAAAACACCATGTCGTTACCCCGACTGTCCTGTATTTTTTGTAATGGTAATAATTGAATTATTGAGCACTGTGAATTGGTGTGCTTGTCGTTTCCAATGCAATGTACATGTAATTATTAAACAAACATAGTAAATTAAGGGCTATAGAGTACACAGTTTTGATTATCATAGTGAAAATGCAGAAATAACTTTTATGCATCAGCTCTGGTAAATTATGAAAGATTTCTTTGTCTGTCTGTCAGTCTGTCCCACTTGGTTTTCCGCACTTTTTTCCTAAACGCTTGCAGATATTGAGCTGATTTTTGGTTTGTGAGTGTATCTTGATGAATTACAGGTCAAGTTTGCATTTCGTTCCGCTTCATTGATTTTTGACGGAATTACGACCTTTTCAATTTTTAAGGGTTTTCCGCGATTTTTTTCTAAATGCTTGCACATATTGAGCTGAGTTTTGGTATGTAACTTAACCTTGATTACTTATAGATCGTTTGCATTTCGTTCCGCTTCAATGATTTTTAATGGAATTATGGCATTTTCAATTTTTAACGGGAACCAGATTACACTTGCCGGTAAGGGACTAGTATTGCTAATGCAATACTCTCAGAATGCTTGTTTTTTATCAGTTGCAATAAGCTTTCAAGATTGAGAAAGACTTGTAAACGCTGATGCTTTTACAATAGTGTAAGTCGATTTGTGTTATCTCTAATGCCATTTTTGCCGAATTTTCAAATTGTTATATACATGTATATATATATATATATATATATATATATATATATATATATATATATATATATATATATATATATATCAATGACCGTGTAGTGTAGGACAACGCCGCGAGAATTCCATCGGCATCGAAAGCAAGTTTTTTTGACTTGCCTAGATAGCCGAGCGGTCTAGCGCGCTGTTCCTGTACTGCTAGGAGACAGATTCCGTAGGTCGAGCGTTCAACCCCGGGCTGGGGCGGAAGTGGGTATCCTTACAAAAGTGAATTTCTTTGTGCTTTCTATATTAATATTTCTTCACTTAGGGCAGTTATGTTAGTTTAAGAGTTGTTGTAAAATGTGTTTTATAAATAAAAATTAAATTTCATTACAACGTGTATTGGTAACGATCCTCTAATAAAACTAATATCCAAATAACTGTATCTCACTTCCATTCTCAATGACCGTGTAGTGTAGAACAACGCCGCGAGAATTCCATCGACATCGAAAGCAAGTTTTTTTGACTTGCCTAGATAGCCGAGCGGTCTAGCGCGCTGTTCCTGTACTGCTAGGAGACAGATTTCGTAGGTCGAGCGTTCAACCCCGGCCTGGGGCGGAAGTGGGTATCCTTACAAAAGTGAATTTCTTTGTGCTTTCTATATTAATATTTCTTCACTTAGGGCAGTTATGTTAGTTTAAGAGTTGTTGTAAAATGTGCTTTATATATATATATATATATATATATATATATATATATATATATATATATATATAAAGATTAGATTAATTTTAACTATAAGAGGTCATTTCAATGTTCAAGACATAAGATGAGTCAAATACATGTATTATGTATTGAACTGAATGATTATTATAAAACCCTTCAATTTCAATATTTTATAACGTAGTGCAATAGAATATTCTAATTTCTAAACAACAGAAAAGCGCTAATTAATTATTGAGCATTGTTCGTGTTCAAGTTTTATAATACGTAGATCTAAAAGATGCGATACCGATTAAAATATTCGGTTAATATGGCACGCTATTTCCTCATCATCTGAATGACTGGTTGTGTAAGAGAGGCACAGACATACTGATATACTGTGAACATCCGGTAAACAACCGTAACATATTCTATTGTCGCCACTTATAATGTCGCCGCATAAATTATTGTCCTTATTTATGCAAACAGTAGCCAAAAAATAAATATTTGGTTGATTTATGGAGGATTACCTTTCAGCGTTTCAGTCTCGTTTTGAGACATTACAGTTACAGTTAGATCGTGGTCAGTTTGGACCAATCCAAGGCAATATTCCTTCGGGGGACATTATGCTTTTAAGGTTTCTTGCTAAAATAATCGTTTTCACTTATTAATCTTGATGTTTAGCGAAGGAACACAGTCACGTTTAGGTTCGTCGGACACCGGGGTGGAACTTTCAACATTTCGCATTAATAAATGTTTATCTGAAGCAAGAAAGGCTTTGGAAAACAATTTTAAAAAATGGCTTTAAGTTCTCACAGCTTTTCGTTTTAGAGACTGTGTCCGTTACTTCTCCTAGTACATGTAATATCAAGCGTTTATGTAAAGCTTTGATCTTATTTGTGCATATATTCTTAATTTCATTGATTTTTTGTAAACGCCATGGTTGATAAAAAGATTCTTTCAAACATTCTTTCAAAGTGCTTTTTATTCTACATGGATTTCAATGAAACCCAGGAAGATTATATTACGATAATTATTATATAATTCTTTGAATTCGAGGTTTGCAATGCATGGTTACCAAAAATAGAAGGTTTTCTCTGTTTACTAGCTCCTACATAACTTCATAATTGACGAGCCGATTATTGATGTAAAAGGTAAAGATAACGAATAGTGATTGATCTAAAAAAAAAAAATCCATAAAGAAGACAAATATGTTAAGAGGGCATACAACACGGACCCCTGGTGATTCCAGAGGTGGGGTCAGGTGCCTAGGAGGAGTAAGCATCCCCTGTTGACCGGTCACACCCTCCGTGAGCCCTATGTATTGATCAGGTAGATAATAACATTTACATAATTATGTATCTTGATTGTTTTTATTAACTTGTACAAAAAGTTACGAAAATCAAAATAAAACTGCAAAAGAAGAGTAGCATTTTGTCATTTTTCTCAGATAAACAACTGTGAAAAAAAAATCATAGGACTCAAAAATTAATGTTTGAAATAATGTAACTATCTTGATGCTGTTCGTATATATCAAGTTTTTATGAAATCAAACTCAAACTGTAGGAATATGCAAATACATTTTGAATGAATTTCACATGTAATTCTCAAATTCTAATTTTCAGAACATCCATCTAACTTACCTATTATTAGGTTCAGCTCGTTAGTAGGATAAAGAAATGTAGTACTGTAAGCCGGTGTGAAGACGAATAATGACGCCCGTAGCAAAATGGCCGTGGGTCATCGAAAAATGACCCTCTAGTCGTCGAAAAATTTACAAAAATCCATGAAGGCAATAACTTTTCTAAACACGGAACATAAATCTAATGGAATGATGTTGTTCACTGTGTAGAAACAGACTAGGGTAAAGTGCGTTACCCTAGTCCAAGATGGCAACAGGCAAATACGCTTCGATTATTTTGCTTAGTTTACGCATTATACAGCCTTACATTATGAAATGGGTGGTTTTATTCTAAGTATTTTAAACAGAAGTACGTAACTATTGCAAAACTTCTGCATTATCTCCGCTGACTAAAGCCAAATAACGGGTAGAAGAAAATTTGAACAAGATCAGCATTAGGGTAACGCAAATTTACGACTAGGGTAAAGATTTTGTGACCTCTTTGAGTGATCAGGGTAAAGCATGACGTGTAAGATGTCATTTTACTTCTTTCAGAGTTTAAAAAAATGTTATTTCAGCAGAATAAAAAGGCGCTCTTCCAGTAAATTCGTAATAATTTGCATCAAACGCTATGTAATTGAAAAATTCTCAGTGCGCTGACAGTTTCTAGAAGAGCACAATGGCCAAATTTCAAATCAGTTTATGTTTCTGTTTAAAAAAAAAAAGATTGAGTCTTGAAAAACAGTGTTCTGTTGATTTAGATACGGCGAAAAACTTTTCAAATATCTACAGATCAATTGAAGAATCATCAATGAAATGTGAAAAATAACGAACAGAAATCATTCTCAAAATTCAATTCAAACAATACAAATTATGATCCGAGGAAACGTACATGGACCTCTGAAAAATGAGAACAGAGGTGGGATAAGGTGCCATGGAGGAGTGAGCATATCCTGTCGACCGGAAAAACCTGCCGTGTACTCTTTGTCGTGATCAGGTATATGGAAATAATGGCCTAATAATTCGTATGAAGGACGTCAGTCAACATTCGACTTAACGACAGATTGTATTTGCAAACAAGGTCATTGTTTCTACCACAGGATTTAAACGAGATGGTTGATATCCTTGTGTCATCAACTTATGGGATTACTCTCTTTCGATTATTTTTTTTTTTTGTATTTAGATTTGCATATTATACAGAAAATGTTATTATACCCCAACTTGAAAAGCGGGAGTATATAGTTATGGGATATCCGTCCGTTTATCAGTACGTCCGTCCATCCGTCTGTCTGTTACGCTATGGGGTACACACATCCCTTATCCGCAAGTCCTCTTATACCACTGATTAAAATTTAATTAAAATTTAATGAGACTT